CCCAAATCGTAAACAGTCCAAATGACGCAAACTCTTCTGCTGTGCCCAGTTGGTGTCGGTGTTTACCCCATCGGCCTGGCAGACCAAAAATCACTCTCACAGGCTCAATTTCCTCTCCCTTTCACATTTTGATCCCAGATAATTCATTGCTTTCCACTACTCAAGCCTCTTACACTCAGTTTCATTTTACACCCTGCAGGCGATTCGGATCTGAGATTAAAGCTTCAAATAATGAAAGCCTAGTTCTGCTGTAGATCACATTTGAAACTCCAAACAATTACCACACATTAAGCAGAATCAGTACAAGAAGTATGTCCCTGATTAAGTTATTTTAATTAAACTCACACATCACTGTCTTGCTTCGAGAAAAAGCGTTGATTCACCTGAGCAGAGTCACTGTTAAAAGCCCACACGCACTGCCTGAAAAACACATTACGCTTTTTCCTTTCGCCACACATGAATGAGCTTATTTGTTTCAGTGAGAGTGCATTACGGAGAGTCTTTCTGTACATTAGCATCAAGGGAACGTGGGCCACGGCAACTGAAACGCATTATCTCAGACCTGATGTACGCTGAAAAGACAATTACACAGACACGTTGGTGGGGGCCCAAAAGGTAAATGCAAGGACGCAGCCACGTTTTCTGCAGACCCGTGGCCTTACCTCAATTCTTCTCAATGATGAGTAAAAACGGATGACTAAACTCTTCAGATCCCTTATTTTGTTTCTACATGTTCTCTGCTTTTTTCTTTACAAGAGACAGGAATGTGGGAGACATGCACCAAAGAGTTTTGGGTGGATTTGAACCGAGGTATCTTTGGTAAGTTGTCAGATTTCTACCATGTGTTCTGTCAAGGAGACGCTTTAAAGTGTTATTGAATTTCTAAGTAACCAACAACAAAAATGTCACAAAAAAAACCTTTAGGAGAGGCGGGATACAAAATAAACATTGATATATATTATACGACCTTCAGCACTCACTGGATCGGTTCGCAACCGAGTGTGAAGCGGCTGGGATGAGGATCAGCACCTCCAAATCTGAGGCCATGGTTCTCAGCAGGAAACCGATGGACTGTCCACTCCAAGTAGGGAATGAGTCCTTACCCCAAGTGAAGGAGTTCAAGTATCTCGGGGTCTTGTTCTCGAGTGAGATGGTATGTAAAGGATTGTTCATGAATCTTTTTGTATTCCTCAGGCAGTGACTCTGTGTCCAATACAACAGGGAGCAGCTGCAGAGACTCGTGCTTACACACAAACACATCACACATGGGTTTGTACTTTCAGTCTTTCAGGCTATGGAGCAATTAAAATGGTGACTTGCTCAATAGCACTGCAACCTATAGGCCTACAGGAGATGTCAGATTTCAGAGATGAGGCGACATTTCTCAATTTCTACACCTCCATATTATTACATCATTTAAAATGTAAAGGTGCCTTGAAGAGAAATCTAATAAACATAAAATGTTATGTTTACATTCAATGTTTTTTCTCGCGGAAGCGGCCGAGATGTGTTTTCTCCGCAGGGTGGCTATGTCTCCCTTAGGGATAAGGTGAGAAGATCAGTCATCCGGGAGGGACTCGGAGTTGAACCGCTCCTCCTTCGCGTCGAAAGGAGCCAGTTGAGTTGGTTCTGGCACCTAATAAGGATGCCACCTGGGCGCCTCCCTAGGGAGGTGTTCCAGGCACGTCCAGCTGGGAAGAGACCAAGGGGTAGACCTAGAACCAGATGGAGGGATTATATCTCTTCGCTGGCCTGGGAGCGCCTTGGGATCCCCCAGTCAGAGCTGGTTGATGTGGCCAGGGAAAGGAACGTTTGAGGCTCTCTGCTGGAACTGCTACCTCCGCGACCCGACCACGGATAAGCGGGAGAAGATGGATGGATGGATGGATGGATATATTATTATAAAGGTGTTTTTGCTAAAACATAGCAATACACTCCACCTAGATATCCACCTACATTTCCTATTGTGCTTTATCCACATCGAATGAATGTCTCTAAAACCACCTGAAAGTCGGTATAATCTATACTTTATGTACACGTCATCTAATTTATTTCAATAAAATAGCTCCAGTTTCTGATTTCCTCAGCATCTACAGACCTTTTTCAAGACACAATGAAAGTCATTATCTACATGACATGTTATTTAGCTGTTGCTTTCCTCCATAAAGCAACTTACATACACTTTGATAGACATGCCTACGAGAGCAATTTAAGGTTAGGTATCTGGACCATGGACACTTTGACATGTTGACTGCAGGGGCATGGGACAGAACCACTGCCCTCTGATTGGTAGATGCCTATTTACCCTCTATGCCACAGCCAATAAACTGGTATCCCTCTAAATCTGCATTTGAATAGTGCTATGTGGGCTGTGTGAGTCCTTCAGCTAGTGCAAATAGAAAAATGCACTTATAGGATTATGAAGTGTTTAGACACCTCTTACACTCAAGTGATGCATATAATGTTGAATGTGAGGTTATATTGCTTCATTAGAGATGTCATGTCAGATGTTAACCCTGAGAGTAAAATCCTCCTGATTTTCACTGAGAGCTCTTCCATCTCATTTAGATTATCCTGTGACATTGTAATATTCACTGGATCAACCTTCCCATTAGCACACACTCTCCCCTTTTCCACTTTGTCATTCAAGCTATAAATAAAACCATTTTCCCTTTGTGTTTTTCCGTGGACCAACTGTGACACTTTGAGCTTGATATTTCTTTAAGCAGAAACTTTTAGCTCCTGGAAATATGTATATAATATTTGAAAATCACACATATATTACTAAAAGCAGAAAGGAGTTTGTATCTTGTGATTATCAAACAGTGAAATTGGTTTAAATGTGACATCAAAATAGGCCATTACTTTGTCTTTTGACCCCTTATGAATATTTTAAAACTCATGTTGAGGATGTCTGCTGTCATATGTCTCCTGAGAAAGACAAAAATCCCTTTATTTTACATAATTGTTCTTCCTTTTTAGAGCGAGAGAGGGCAACACCAGCACAAAGTCCTAGAATATTAATGCTGCTCGGCCTGAAGTGAGTCATAATGAAGTCCTGCTGACCATCTCAGAGGAAGACACTGAGAAGCCTGAAGTAAACAGTGTAATTTCTTCTAAAGTATGGAAGATATATGTGTATTTCTGTTTTAGTAATTGGTAATGACTGAAGCACCGGGTATCAAACAAACAACAGACTGCGGTGAGTCATTTGAGTTGCAAAGACATGTAAAAGATAATGGACATTATTTCATTTGGCTGACGCTTTTATCTAAAGCCACTTACAATAAGTGCAATCAAACACGCAGATGCAAAAAGAATAACATATATTTCTGCAAATACATTGGCTTTTTATTATCCATTTTAAGGGCTAATACACTAGCGTCATATGCCAAACCTTTCTAAATGCTTCATACAGTAGAAGGAATTGTTTATGCATATTATTTTTCTTTTCATAGGCCAAGGTGTAGTCGAAAACAGGGAAATATGAATATTGCTCGAAAGACCTTCAGCATACAGGTGGGTCAGATTAATTTACATGGGACAATGGCAGATTAAAGGGAAGATCCACCTTTAAATGGGATTTTCCTGGTGGTTCTTTAATGCAATTTATGAGGTGTAGTGATTGTTAAAAGGGTTATTTTAAAAGTAAGAGCTTTTTTTTTATGCAATTTTACAATGCCATTCCTCTAAGTATGTGAAAAGGCCAAAATGTTGTAGACATGTCACTTTTTATGAATAAATTAATTAGTTGAATATGTTAACATTCAGTCATTGAATCTCTATTAGCACTGGGGTCTGAAATTCCTGCACGCGATTCAGGTTGCCACAATTCAAATTGATTCAAATGTTTGATTTGTGTAGGTTAAAAACATGTTGGTAACATTGAGCATGATTTCAATCCACAACTTAACAAAAGATATAACATAGATCAAGTTATTTCATCTGGAAATATTGCTTATTATATTTTTTAATTGGATTGAAGCGAAATCCACTTAAAGCAGCTTCAATCCAAAAGTAAAAAGTTTAAACAAGTGTGTCCACTACTTGTCTCCACCTGTTGTTTCTAGCAGTCTACGAGTTTTTCTTTTCTCCCACTGAATCTCCAGGTGTTAAGTGGTCAGAAAAATAATGTCTCCAAGCAATCTGCGTGGGCTACAGCACTTTACCCTGCTCCTCCGCACTGATTCATCTACTAACAATTCAGAACGTCATAGCAGGGGGCACATCAGCGTTACTGTATAACTTATTCAGACTGACAGCTCCTGAGGCGGGGTCAGATCAATGCTGAGCAGAGGTCTTACAGTATAGTTTCTCTGGTCAGGATAATGCAGAGGAAGATAGATTGAGGTCAAATTGTAATAGTAATTAATTAAGAATTTAGCCTTGGGTAAGTAAATATAATATTTTAGTTGAATGGTCTTTTCTCTGCCTCACTAAGAGTCGAAATTGATGTGAGAGTTGTTTCCATGGTAATATTGCAAATGTGCAAATTCACTGTCTTGCCTTTTATTTACAAACCACTTTGCTGCCATCTAGTGGACACATGGTAGACGTGCACAGTAACGGTTTTACACACACAGCTGCCAGAATAAAAAGCAAGCATATAACATTATTCTTAATTCTTTCAAATGGTTAACGAAAAAGTACTCATATTTTAAGAATCCATAAAGTTAAAATAAACAGGTCCTTTCTATTCGTGCAATGGAGCTGTTGTTGCTATGCAGGGACAGTTTACTTTTTTGTTGTTTCTGTAAACTTTTGAAAAGAAAATAGATTTGAAAAACAGCAAATAAATATAACACAGTAATATTTTATTAAAAATCAGTATGAACGTCTAAATAATAAACAAAACCACGTTGTGTTATTTTAGCAACATTAAAATGGTTTGTTTAGGCGCTGCAGTGGTGCAGGTATTTCATTGGCCAATGACGAAGTCGCCGAATATAATTGGTCTACGCACAGTCCCTCTCTGTAAGTATTCCTACTAGAAACACGGTCCCTTAGAAATTGAGGTACCCAAATGATAAGGGTATTAGCTTCATATTAAAAGCCCTTTTTAAGACAATTTACGCCAGTGTGACTGTTGGATTTTTTAACGAGAAGTAAAGAGGGAATGATACGCTTCTGTTGCTAGCACTCCTTATCTTTTTGAAGGTAATGTATCAAACTTGTATCCTTGTCATGGCGTGCTAGTAGCCTTGCTAATTGGCTGACATGTTCCTCTCGGGCAACGTTAGCCAGGTGTGACTTGAACTCACAACATTAGAACGATATCTTTAACCTACAATTGGCTGCTGCTGTTATACATACGGAACACTTTAGTTTTAACGGTAACATTTAGTCAGTAGTTAGCGTGTTTTGGAAAATAGCATCTGTAGCCACCGCTAGCTAGCTAATGTTGCTGCACAGCTAACACAGCTGCATGAGTGCAAACAATTAATTCAACGGTGTTCAGCTGCTGCTTATGGCGAAGTGGATGTCTACAGTAACCTACGAACTAATTAACTGCGTCATTTTGTTATGCTTATCAACAATATCACACCATAATGTTTTTGAAAATATTAAATATAATCTCTCATTTCGGTTATTAAGGTTCATGCACTGTTGCTGCTAAGACTGTATTCCCATAACGTTTTGTTTACCTACACATCAGCTATGAATTCATTTCCAACACCAAAAATCATAAACTAATGTTAATCTAAATGTAGCCCTATTCCCATCCACTGAAGGGGCATCAATGGGAAACAAATGTTGAAGGGGAAACTGACTTCACCACCAGTTTGCAAACTATTGTTGTCTCAGTAAGGATTTGGTATACAGGCTACAAAAACATATCCCCCTGTGTCATGGAGTTAAGAGTTAAAGTGTTAAGTAATATTTGATCTGGGTGCATTTATTTATTTCCGGTATGTCATTTTGTGTTTCCACAGTTATGTCTTTCCACCAGGATCGGGGGAGTCCCAGGGGGCCCCCAGGTCAACAAGGCGCCACTCAAAACTACCATCCCACCAACATGAGGGCCCCCCCACCCCAGCCTCCTGTTCCCCCGTACCACTACGACCCTCAGGCCCCTCCTGGCTCAAGCTACCATGGAAACAGCGGCTACATGCCTCAACACTCTGACTTCATGCAGTATCCTCCACCAGCACAGTCCCACCCCCCTAATTCTCTCAACCAGTGCCCGGTGCGCCCACCTTTCCCCAAGCCCCCTCTCCGGCAGGGCTTCCCTGAACCCCCGCCTAACTTTCCCCCTCCTCCCCTCCCCAGCTCCACAGGTGGTCCCACATCAGGGTCTGCTCCGAATGCCTACCACCCTTACATGATGCCTCCTGTGCCCCCACCACCATTAGCTCACCAATCCATGCCACCTCCTATAGCTTCTCAATCTATGGGCTACCACCCTCCATACGCCATGAACTACCCTCCCCATCCTCCTCACCCCCCTTTCCCTCCTCCTGCATTTAGCCCCGGCTACAATCAGAGCCCCAACTCGTTCAAACCCGAGCAAAGCTTCAGGCAGGGGCAGCAGTACAAGTACGAGAAGCCCATGGACAACAGGAGGTCTCCAGAGAGAGGGTATCGCCAGGAGGAGCACAGGCAGAAGGGCTTCGGCTACCATGGTGACAGGCATAAAATGGAATTCCCTGCAGAGAGGAAGGAGCGCGTGAGGAGTCCAGACAGGCGCGGCAGGCCGGAGGGGGGGCGGCACAGGCCTGAGTACGACAGAGGGCACGCCTCGCCCGCACACAGGGGCAGGGATCGCAGCAGGTACTTACATAGCAGTAGCTCTCCTATGGGATCAATGTGTGAAATGATTTGATCTCACAGCCACGTGTGTGTTTGTTCTCAGGGAGAGGTACCGTCACAGAGAGAGTCGGAGGTCCCAGTCGCCTGACCGGCACAGGAAGAGGCCTAGAAGGTACACACGCTGTCCATTAAGAACTGATGTGAATTACACATTTCCACCCAAACTCTGCTTACTGCTGGGTAAAAGTCTACATCTTTTAAATACCTTTCCCCTTGTGTAACTTTAGCTCTTAAATCAACCAGAAACTCGTAGTAATTTGAATTCCGCATATCAAATCTATTGTGTTGCTTTCACTTTGTCTCACATTCATAAGAATCAGAATTCCTTTATTATTCCAAAAGCGGGGAAATTAACAGTGTTATGGCAAACGTGGCATGGAAGGTTAAAAAAGAAAAATGGCAGGCAATAATAACAAATAAAAGCAGACATTGGTAATAACATAAAAATAAAGAGAAATAAGTAAACTACCATGGCTAAATAATTAGTAGCAACAATGTAAGTATAAGTAAGTGACATAGTCAGCATATTATTAGTATTGCAACCTTAAAATAAAAAGTTCTGGGACATTTTTTAAAGTTGTGTTTTTTTACAAAAAGTGATTTTAGCACCAGTACAATTGCACATTGTGGCTTTATTTCACAAGCTCCCAACAGTCTGTGTTCATTTAGCAATTACAGCTGCCTCAAGAGTCCCCTAAGCTTGGTCCTTTGGTCACATGAGAACCCGTGTTCATAACCTCCTCCTGGCTGATTGCAATAATTGTTTTTCTTTTCACTTCTCTGTGCTTTGCAGTCGTTCCACGAGCAGAGACCGTAAGCGCGGTCGCTGGGAAGACGAGAGGGACAGAAGGTCAGAGAGCTCGTCCGGCCCGAGCAGAGAGCGCAGCTACTCGTCCGTCAGGAGCCGAGAATCCGAGGAGACGTTCGCTGACAGGGAGCGAGAGCGAGAGAAGGAGCGGGACAGAGAGAGAGAGAAGGAGAAGGAGAAGGAGAAAGAGAAGGAGAAGGAGAAGGGAGAGGACGAGAAAGTAGAAGAAGACGCGCAGCTGAAACCTGCCTGGATCCGCTGCACACACGCTGAGAACTACTACTCCAATGACCCCATGGACCAAGTGGTACTGTTGGCATTTAAGTCTTAATTAATGATCCTATGCCCTGTGCTTAGTGTCTGATTGTTTTTTGAAACAGTGTTTATGCCCTTAGGCAGGAATTTTGCAAAAGTCATAGAAACGTTCTTGCCTGCAGGTTAAACCGGAGAATAACTCACTTTCATTTGTTTCCCATTAAAACTGATCTTTATCCACATGACTGGAAAAAGTAATCCTCACAAATATTCAGTCTGCAATTTTACTATTTTGTCTTTGAAGGTGGTGTTGAAGATTTGAATTGGCTGCTCTCAGACACGGTATCTTTTTCAGCCGCTCGGTTAATATCCAGTGCACAAAAGACGGCTCAGTCATCATTTGCAAAATCACCACCTTCATTCAGAAACGCTTTTCTTCACGTCTTTGGATCTGTGGGATAGTGCCGACTCCTTTTTCCTTCTCTAAGACTCTGACCTTTAGCAGGAGTCTCTGGGTGCTTGCTTCATGCTGTCATCAGTTTCCTTTTTATTTGCCACAAATTACACCTTCCGCCCAAGAGTCCCGACCTGTCTTTCAATAAAACCAGAGTGAAAGTAAATGTCTTTTCTGCGCCGACAGAGAGGACACTGCCTGTGGGAGCTACTGTAGATTAGCCAAAAGGGTTTTGAATCAGATTTAAGGTTCAGCAAAGTGAGGGCAGATGAAATGTAACTTTATTTGGTCAAATCATTGTCTAAGAAATCAATAGACATCTTTTCTGTGGGGTATACATTTAAAACATATGACTTAGCCTGCAAAATGAATCATTATTACTCACAAACACACAGGATGGAATTACCTAATAACCTTTGTCCCATTAGAAAAGTTGAATCCAGTAAAGAGAGACTCTTGGTGTGCACAAAATAAAGAAAGCCATGTTTAAAAAAAGCTGAGCTGCAGTCGAATTGTCAGTTTCTCTCAGGAACCTTCCTAACGCACTGAAATGACCCGGAAGTGCTTCAGTGGCAGCCATGATAAGAGCCGTTCAAATTCTCCAGGAAAGGAGGTTTGAAACTTCCTTTATAACCTCCTTTAGCTTAGGAACCACTGGACCTTCCTTTGACGAAAGGAGAGGAGAAAATGCTGCCCCACAATGCCTTGCGGCCGCAGCATTTAGGGCGAGGGGATATCACGGAATAAACCGATTATGACCGAGAAATGATATCATGAAAGTTACGGTGCTTATTAAGCATTTTAAAACGTATGTGGTAAGTTACCAAAGTGCTTTGTTTTGAACGTTCATCGGTATTATAATCAAAAAGAGAAATATGAACATTAGTTTTTACTGAAATGATCAACTAAAGTCAACATTTCACAGTCTTTACTGAGCTGTGTGGGGTTTAGTTAACAAGATGTTTCAACAATAAGTTTTTCTTCACTTTTTATTTCAATTCCACCTTTGGTAATGAAGAATATGTTTCTCTGTTGTTCATAAAGCATAAAGCAACAGCATCAGAGCACGGTGCAGAGTCTCTAGATGAGTTTACAGTAATCGTTCTTATTAGACACCCCTGTAGTCCGTGTCAGGGAATCATTTCCCCTGCATGTCCTCCTTCGCCCTCTGACGCAGCTGAC